AATGCTTCACAATTTAGACTTCAACGAATTGGCTACCAAGATTTTCTCCAGTTATAAAATACTTCTCTTCTTTTCCTACTTTGAAGCTTTGTGCCCTTGTAAGAGGAATGTTAGGATGGAGCCTATGAATTATCTCCTGTCTTTGATACCTAAAGAAATGTCGTCTTTGTTCAGGTAAAAGTAGTACCTGCAATTTATCTCTTAGCTCCCAAAGTACAGATTTGATGACTGGTTTATAAACTATGTCTCATAACAGGACAGATCCTTTCTTGACCTAAATAACTTGTACCACACTGTGGGCATTTCACATATGTTAGGTAGACATAATGGAGAATTTTCTAAGCCACAATTTCATGTGTTCTTGAGAATAGAAGCCTTTAAACTAATTCTTTATCCCATTTTTGATGGTATAACTTTGATTTCTAAACAGCAACTTGAGCATAAGCAGAGGGACAAACTACAGGAGTGTGTACCCATACAAAGCCAAGCTAAATGTTTAAAAAGCTATTCTGTACCATTTTGCTTCCTCTTCTTATAGAAGTTTCCTTGTGATTCTAGCATTGTATAACTTGATGAGCTACATGGCTCCTTACTATTCCAGATGATTCACAACTGGGTTTTGGAAAACACTTTATTAAAATGCCCTTAAGTCAAAAAAGCACACTTTGAAGTAGAACAGTAGGCAGTTGCTTCAGTAGGTTGAAGATCAAAGATGTTGCTATCTGCATGGCCAATGAGAATGAAAACTTGATTTGAGCGCAGAAGTGTTTGGGGAGAAGAAATGATTTCTTACTGATAAAAGAAAGCTGGAAATGGAACAAGGAAGCCATGGACCTATCTCCTTTGCTATATGGTTCGTGTATTTTTCTAGTAGCTTACCAGACCTCTTTTGAATCAGTCTTTTAAATTTTACAACCTTTCATTCATCACTCTTTTTCTGTCCAACAGCTGATCCCCCACCCCCTTAGCTTTGCCCTTGAAAGGGAACGTGCTGGCTGCCCCCACAGACAAGGCCTCTGAGGCCAGTGCAAGCCATTCCTTATTCTTACTCCTCGTGTTCTGATACACACCACCCCACATTAGACTATTTTTCTTCCTCATTATTTTCCCATTAATGCTTTGTGCAAGCCTGCAACAGGACTTCAGAATAGAAATGCTCACAGCAGCCACTGCAAGAAGCTGTGCAGCATCAACTTTTGAGACAGACTGTTGACTCGCTGTTGGCTTTGTACTTTAGAGGTTACTGCTGGCAAGTGAAATTGAGCCAGTTCAAAAATCTCTTGATCATACAGCTCCTGGGGTTTTGTTCTGAATTCTGAACCAAAATGGTCAGTCAGTATCAGTGCATGGTGAGGAAAAAAGGTAGAAAAGGGATGGAGAAGCCAGACTGGCCATAAATTATAGCCCCATGTAATCGTCCAGTGCGTCTGTCCCAGAGGACCATCTGGACACAGCAGAGAAAGTTTGCCTCAGTGAGGTATAGGGTAAATGCACAAGCTTCTAGCAAAGGCCAAGTTAATGTTCAATGTACCCATCACACTATTTGATATTTAATTCCCATTCCAGTACTGTTACCAAGGCATACGAGAGAAGAGTTTAGATCTGAAGACCTCCCATTTTGTATTCTTTCTCAGAACTAATGGAGATTGTAGCCTTAGGAACCATTCCTTTTGAAATTTTCAAGAATTCCCAGAACTACCAAGACCACATGGGGATACCCAGAAGATCTGAGCAAAGTCCAAAGCTGATATCACATACCCCATGTAGTGTGTGTGTGTGTGTGTGTGTGTGTGTGTACATAAACTTAGTAAGCATGTGACTAAAAACAATTCTGCCCTAAAAACTTCCTACAAAATTTTGCTGCCCATATGACAGAGCAGACTAAGCATTTATTATTATTTCATGGATAGGACTTAATTCTTCATGTAAGCGCTCTCAGTAAATACATGGAATATAAATATCAACACATTACATGAATCTTTACAGTAAGTAGACTTTTCTCCTTTTACATAATTTTTCTCCAATACTTTACACTAAAAAAGAAGAAGAAACAGAAGAGGCAATGAAATGTAAAGATACATCTGGTCATACAAATATTTCCACCTGCCTAATAGCTATGCATATGCATCTATTTTTTGTATGCTCATACATGTGATCTTCTGTATTTAAAAGCTCATTTTCCCCCGGCATTCTCTTGCACTCCCACTCTACATAAACAAATGTATTTGAGGAAAAGAATTTTGACTGCAATATTCTTTTATAAAATAGGTTAAAATTTTTAGTGTTGAAGCAAATTGTGCCACCATAAATGAGGGCTTTGTGATTCTCAGCTCATTCTGAAGTGTATGATCTGAGTGAGATAGGCAAATTTTTAGTTAGCTCTTCCACTACTTGATGGGTGTATCTTTGCTATTCCCTGTCTTACCTTGCCTTGACTGTATATATCCAAAATAATAATAGCTAGGACAAAGAGCTCCAAATTAAAGGGCCTTATAGGGAACTGTGTTTTGACTACATAACTTAGAAAAAGGGTTATGTGAGCTTCTTGAAAAAGTTGAAAACATTTGTTTAGAACACACTTTTTAAGGGAAAGGAATAGAAAACACCTGTGTTCATTAAATTGTTTTGTTCTTTTGGTTTTGTCTAAGATTTTGCTTCACTGTCAAAGATAAACTCATCTCTCACGCTTTCAAGAAATCACCCTTGGGAATGAAAACAGCAATTAGGAGTGGTGTCAGAATTACTTCTCATCCTCCTGCTTTTTAAAAATGATTTATTTAAAAACTATTTTTACATCCACAGCAAAATTGAACAGAAAGTTCAGAGAGTTTCCACATACCTACTTCCATCAGCGTGCTCAATGTGTTACAATCAATGAGTAGAAAATTGACTGGTGTAACCACTGTGGAAATCAGTATGGAGATACCTCAAAGAACTAGGACTGGAAGTCCCATTTGACCCTGCTATTCCCCTGCTGGGGATCTTCCCAAAAGAATTAAAAGAATCATACCACAGTGATATATGTGCACCCATGTTCGTAGCAGCAGTTTATAATAGCTAAAGCTTGGAAACAGCCCAAGTGCCCATCAACTGGAGACTGGATAAAGAAGATGTGAGTTTTTTTTTTAATGGAGTACTACTCAGCCATAAAGAATGAGAAACTAGAGACATTTATAGCTAAATGGATGCATGTTGAAGCCATACTCATAAGTGAAATAAATAGGACACACATGTGTAAATACCAAATAGTTTCTCTAGTGTGAGAAACTGAAAGTATAAATAAGAATTAAAAAGATTAAAATGAATAATTGATAATTTTAAATAGGAAGAAAAGGTCCAAAGGGGTGGGGGTGGTGGGAGGGGAAGGGGAAAGGAGAGGAGGGAAAGGAAAAATTATGAGGAAAGAAAAAAAATGGAAATAAAGTCTATGTAAATAGGTGGGGTAGAGGGGGTGAAGGGTGTACAGGTAATGGGGAAAAAAATAAGAACCAAGATACATCATGTACAGGTACAAACACCCAATGATAAATGTAAATGTATTGTATACCTAAAATGTACCAATAAAATAATTTAAGGAACAAAAAATTTAAAAAACATTTTCACCCAATTTTTATGTTTTACCTTATGTTTCACTCTTGTGTTGTATATTTTATGGATTTGGACCAAGGTATGATGTGTATCTGACATTACAGTGTCCAAAGTGGTCTCATTAGCCTGTGTTCCACCTGTTCATCCCTCCTTCTCTTTCCCAGGACTCCAAACAACACTGATTTTTTAACTTGCTACATAGTTCTAACTTTTCATGAATGTTATATAGCTGCAATCATATAGTATGCATCTTTTCCAAACTTGGCTTCTTTTACTTAACCATATGCATGATCGGTCTCCCACTACCTCAGCAGCTATTATGTTTAGTAGCTGCCCTCTTCCTATCGTGCCTTGCCCCCTCCCCTGTGTGACATCATGCCAAGATGGTTGCTCCCACCAAAGAACAAACCCTTCTTCCCAGCATGCCCCTGTTCCCGCCTAGAGAGTAACCTAATACTCGCTCACTTCCTACCACCTAGTGACATCAACGGCTCCTCCATTCCCTAGTCACTACTTTATTCAACCCCGCCTCAGCCCCTACAAACCTCACCCCAGTCTCTATAAAAGACTCTCCCTGCCCTGGCCATATTGCTTTTTTCTCTCCTTTGTTCAGAGACAGCCCAGAAGATCTATTCCCCTAATAAAGGCTTGTTGTGACCTGGTCTGGTCTTGGTTTTCGGCCCTTTTACCTGACAATGCACTTAATGTTCCTTTGCATCTTTTTATAAATTGGTAGCTCACATTTTTATTAGACTGCATAATATTTAATTGTATAGATGTACTACTGTTACTCTATCAACATATTAAAGGATATTATGGTTGCTTCCATACTTTGACAATTATGAATAGATCTGCTATAAATATTTGAGTGCAAATTTTGTTTTTTGCAAATGTATACTTTCAATTCACTTGAGTAAATTTCAGAGAGCATGACTGCTGGATCATATGGAAAGAGTATTTTTGGTTTTGTAAGAAAACTCCACACTTGCACTCCCACTTGCATTTGGTGGTGCCAGTGTTTTGGATTTGAGATACTGTTATAGCTATGTTGCAGTATCTTATTATGGTTTCAATATCTAATTTTCTAGTAAGATTTTGGGCATCTTTTCAAATATGTATTTACCATATGTATTTGTCATTTTGGCTGAGGTGTCTGCTCAGATCTTCAGCCTGTTTTTAAAAAAGAGATTGTTCATTTTTTTCTGTTTAGTTTTGAGAATTCTCTGTATATTTTGGGTAATAGTTCTTTATCAATTATGTCTTTTGAAATCATTTTCTTATAGTCTCTTATATGTCTTTTTGTCTTATAGTCTCTTCTTATGTCTTTTTGTTCTCTTACATTTTAAACAATTTATGTCTTAGTTATTTGATTAAAAAGTGATTAAATACTGATAATTTTATTTCATTGGCAGGATTCTACCTTAACCACATATGAAGCTCTGGATCACCTGTTGTTTGCTGAATAATATTCAAACATTTGGCTTGCATAGTCAATTGGAATTTTGTGATTGAAAGTTCTTTTTGGAATTTATTAAACTCGCCAAGAAGAATGGAGTAAATACCATTTCCCATTTGGCAGATGGGAACTTGGATAATCAGAATTAAAAAGTACCTCCTGGTGTTTACTTGTTGAGTGAGAAACCAAACTGATTATCTGCAGCTTTCCTTTACTGGGTTACTTGAGTCTGTGAAGGTTTCTGGTGTGTATCAATTACAGTTTTTCAGTGTTAGCAAAGTTTTTATACATCATTAGGTGGTCATGTGAGTCACTTTTTAATGTGCTTTCACTCCAGGGAATTAAAGAATAACAAGCAGAAAATCATTCTGACAGAAAAAGATTTAATCTGTACATGAAGTGAGGAAGTGATTGTTGATATACTGACCTGCTTTTAATGATATAGAACATTAGTTAAGGAAAAAATCAATCTGCTGTGGCATGCGATATTTTAACAGGCCCAGCATTTGTGTTACGAAAAATTGGATGCTTCTTCTATTAGACATGAAACTCTTTGATTCTCATGTTTTATTCTTCAGGTTCTAAATATATGTGCTTATATCCACTGATTTTCTCAGAAGAGAAAAGAGTACTATCTATGACCTTTTCAGTCATATTGCCTTCCAGACACACACAAACACACATACACACACACACACACACACACACACTTTGATAATAAAAGGCAGAGTTCTGTCCTATTGTCCTCTCAAGCAGCCTTCACACCTAATGCATGCTTTGAAACTGCAAGATATACAACCCCCAGAGAGACTAGTCCTTTTTGTCCCTGCTTAGGAATGGGAAAAATCACCTTGTTTCTGACTGAATTGAGAAATAGCAAAATACTATATAGCATTCTCTTTTTTACCAATGTATAGTCATCTTTTTCTCCCCTCTTTCCTTAAAACTAGTTAATTCATGTAAGATGGCTCAGGATCAGTAGGCTTTCATTTATTTATTTATGAAGCAAAGTGTTTGGATATGATTTTGAAATTATTAATGTGTTGTCTTCTGTTGTCTTTCTGAATATGAAATCTTCATTCTAGTCTGTCTTTCTATGGGTGATTAGAAAGGCAAAGAAAGAAAGGTAAAAAGCATGCAAATGTTGGACTTGTAAACAGAGTTAAAGAGCAAAACAACAGATGTCCAAGCAAGGCTATTTTCTTACAAGATGATGTGCCACATTTTCTGGTTACCATTATTGCTCTCTTAAATATACCAAGAGCTTAGCTTGGAATTTACTTGTAGTGTAGAGTGATACCTCTCAAAATATCTATGGTGAAGGATCAGCTTTTTTTCAAATTCTTGAAGGCTAAGTTATTTTGTAAAATATAATTAAAACTCATTATTGAGAAAAGCTAAATTAGAAAAAGCAGATATAAAATACAAACCTCAATTGTTTTATTTTTAGATTCAACAGACAGAAAGTACTCTGTTAAATTGCTGTAAAGTATCTGTAAGACACACTTAAGATTTGTACTAATCTCCTCATGCAGCAATAAGAGTTTGCAAGGCCACCCCAGCCTACAGGCCTCTTATCTCAACTGAAAAGTCACATGTCCATTTCTGATCATGAAGCCTCCAGATAACCCCAAGTCATCCACCTTGGGACACCACCACATGGTATGGACACACATTCCAGAGCCACAGGAGAGGAAAGTAAGTCTGTTAGAGGCTGAGAGCAAACACCAGACAATGACCTAGAAAGAGCGAGTGACAGACTTGTAAGAAAGCTGCAAAGCAATGGGAAGCAAGGGCATAGGGGATAAGAGAAGCAAGTAGAGAGACCAAGTGTTACATGCTGGAGCAATGCAAGACACCATGTGGCTCTGATGACTTGTCTTCCTCCTATCCTCCCACCAGGCTGTGCCTCTTAGGGAAAGTTGCAAACGGAGAGACAAGGCTGTCTGTGAGACTCATATTTCATGCAAATGAGAAACTTGAGTTTTACTGGAAGGAACTGTTCAGTTTATCAGACCAGATTAAGTTTCAACCACTTTAGACCTTTAGTTTCTCCACAGCACTCTAGAGTAACCATAGTCCCAAGGTTTGCTGGGGTGTTCTTAGTTTTAGAACTGAAAATGTCACCCTGGGAGTAGGCTGACGGTCTGGACAAATAGAGACTCCTCTGCTAGAACTAGCAGAATAAGAGGATACAGGAAGAAAATCAGCCAACTTCATATCAAATAATGATTTATCATTTCTCTGCACACAGAAGATATAACTGAGTTACATTTTGCAACCTGTAATGACTAATTTTGCGTGTCATTTTGACTACCTGAGAAGTGTACAGATAAATGGCAAATCATTATTTCTTGTTATGTCTTTGAGATTAGCAATGAGTCAGTAGACTGAGTAAGAAAGATTTGCCCTTACCAACGAGACAGCGTCATCCAGTCAGTTCAGTGCCTAAAAAGAACAGAAAGGTGAAGGAAGGGTAAATTCCCTCTCTGCGTAAACTGAGGCATAACCTCTCCTTATGCTTGGGCACCCACATGTAGGCTTTTAGCTTCAGAATGTATTTGTACCACTGACTTCCCCGGTTCTCCAGCTTTAGACATCTTATCAGGGGACATCTTGGCCTCTATAAGTGCATGAGAAATTATAAATCTCTTCACATACACATTGGTACTTCTCTGGAGGACTCTAATAAAGAACCACACTATGAAATGTATGCTGAGTGATGACTGAAGGCCAGGAGCTATAATAGGCACTACCTATACAGTACTGTAGAAACAATACAGAGGTGATTGCTGCCTCATGGAAGTTGCATGCCTGTAGAGAAAGGACTTGAACTCTCTCCCCTCTGGCTATGTATGCTTTAAAGCTTGAAATAGAAAAAGGAACATAAATTGTAGCTATAAATACCACCTTGCAATAAGGATCATACCCTAATCCCATCCCAGAACACTTTCTTTGGATACATTTCTCTATATGCACTTTCATTTGATTAAAGTCCATTCAATTATACTACTGATAACTATAAACTATGGGTAAATCATCATTTTTAATAAAAAATTAATAAATCCTTTTTTAAAAAAGTATTACCAAACTTAATTTTTGTCAAATTTTCTGTTTTGTTTTGTTTTGTTTTTTACCAGAAAGAAACTCTCAAAATAAATACAATAGTATCTTAAGACTAAGAAACAAAGAAAAATAATCATGCTTGTAATCCCATTCTGAAATAGGTACAATTAACATTTCTGTGGTGATTCTTTTAATTGTCTTCTCATTGTGACTGCTGGTCCACACATATATAACATTAGTTATCTAGGATGTTAAGACACAGGCCAGGTTCATCAGTAGAACCACTCTGGTCTTTTTCCTTTCTTCTTGCTTTTCTCCACACACATCTTCCTTCTTCTCTGTCTATATACATCATACCCAGTCCTACCTTGTTAATGATTTAATAGGTATTTTCCATACGTTCTTTTTCCTTGCCACAAATCTTAAAGATTATTGTTATTTTCAACAGGGAGTAGCTCAGACTAAGGTGCTAGTAGCCTTCTTTCCTCATTAGCTTTATCCTTGAACACTCAAGGAGAAAAAGACACTTTTCCAGGACGACTGACTTCTTTCTTTGTAATATAAAAACACCGCAATTGGGATTCAATCATATAGAATCATATTCTGCTTTGGTCATCAATAAACTGTGTGGTTTGGGGCAAGGGGGCAAGGGTGATTTTTTTTGGGGGGGGGGTACCAGGGATCGAACTCAGGTCTTTGAACCTGCATAGCAGGCGGCGAAACCACTGAGCTAAATCCCCAGCCCCACAAGGGTGATTTTTAATAGCTCTGAACTTCAGTTTTCCTCTCCTTCTCCTTTTCTTTTCCCCTACCCTCCCTCCTCTTCCTCTTCCTCTTCTTCCTTTTCTTTTTGAGACAGGGTTTCCATGCATAGTTCAGGCTGGCCTTGAACTCACTATGTAGTGAAGGATGCCTCTACTCTCAGCAATCTTCTTGCCTCAGCTTCCCTGTGCTCAGGGCTGAAACACCACACCTGACTGAACTTCAGTTTTCTTAACACTGGTGAAGATTACCCAAGATAGTTCAACAAATCATTGACTACTCCCATAGCACTTTCCATTAACTTGTCAAATTCCAACATAAATATTTATCAATGAGTCTGCTAGGGCAAGAAAGTGAGTTCTTTTTGTTTCAAGATCAAGAAATGCCTCTTAAAATGTGTTATTATATAGTTTTGATGACTTGGTTATTTTTACCAGTGTGTCAGTTGTTGACTGGCTCAGCAGAAACAATTTCTGGACTCTGACCTTGACAGGGGATCTCAGGCTCCATCCTTGCAGAGACCAGAAGGCAGAGGGCATGTCATCCCCACTCTCCACAAATGAATAAAACATTCACATGCTTGTTCTCATTTAGTTCTCAAAGGAATCTGATGAGACAGGATTATTATGTATGTATTTAAACAAAAGAAAATTGAAGCTCAGAAATATTAAATTGCTCAAGTTAAATAAATTTTGCAGTGGCAGAAAGGTGAACTTAAGCTTTAATATGGACTGAATGTTTGTACTCCTTGCTTCTCACAAGTTCATATGTTGAAGATCTAACTCCATTGTAGTTGTGTTTATAGATGGGGCTTCTAAGGAAGCAATTAAGGTTCCATGAGATCATAAGGATGAGTTCCTGATCTGATAGAATTAGTGTCCTTATAAGAAATGAGCATGTACTGTTGCTCCTCTACCTTGTATGCATGAATCAAGAAAAAGCTGTGGGAGGACATAGCAGGAAGGCAGCTAATTATAAGCCAGCAGAAGCTCTTACCAAAAATTGAGTAGGTTATAATCTTGATATTGGATATTTTGCTTCCAGAACTCTGAGAAAGCAGATTTCTGTTGTTTGAGTTCTAGTCTGTGTTATTTTATTATAGCAGCGTGAACTGACTAATACAAACATTGTTCTGGTTAACTAATACAAATGTTGTAGTCCACACAAACTGCTAAAAAAATGCTGTAAACTGGGTGGCCTACAAACAATCATTATTTTTTACAGTTCCAAAGGTTAGAATGTCCAAGTGTTAATGGATTTGGGGGTGCAGTGGTCTCCTTTTGGAGATGGTTTCTAGGTTCTTTCTGTCCTGAGCAAAGAATTTGTCAGGAGAAGTGCAAGTAGTAGCAAAG